TCGAGTTGAATGTTGTTTGTAAATGTAATTTTATTCATAAAATTTGCAATACAATTTCAATCCTATGCTAAAATCCTACTAAACAAACATGCCCTAGCTGGAATAGTTAGTATTGGTTGTTTGTAGTAGTTGTTGGACTATATAATTCTTTTCTTCTATTTGTAAATATCCTGCAAATTGAAGAAAGAAAGAACCAAAAAAATATATAAAAAAAAAGTTATACCCAATTGAAGTGTTGTTTGTGCAACAAATATTAATTATGACTTGAACAGATAATTTTTATCCATGCGTGCTCAAATTAAAGTCAATAATTTTTATTGTGATATTAGTTACACACACAAGTAATTTTAATTAGAATTGTACTATGCCTCCGTTTGGGAAGGAAGGTTTGGACTAAAATAGTCATATAAGACAAAATATGTTATTTTAGCCTAATAAGACAAAACATCATATCCAACTCATAATCATTACATTCTTTCTCTCATAAAAAGTCAAAAAAGTCAAAAAATTTTTCCCAAACAAGACTTTTTAACTCCAGACTAAAATAGTCAAAAAATTAAAAAATCAATTCACTTTCCAATCGTACTCTATGCAAACTTAATTGACATAGTGTATTAATATTACCAAACTTAATGCAGAATGCATTAATGTTACTATACAAGTCTAAGTTAATCTTTAATTGACATAGTGCATTAATGTTACCAAACTACCTATGTCATGACCCGCTCATCGTATTCAATGATTAAGTATCGTATTCAATGATTAAGTATCGTGATGGTCAGTAACTGAAGTTACCTACGGCTAATTCTTAAACAAATCAATAAACGCAAGCGGAAGAAATATTTAAATGAGAGTACCAAAATAATCATCGGAGCTTCTATTTTCATTACAAAATTTACTGACAAAAAAGGCCGATATTTACATATGTAAAAAATATCATAAAAGTATTGTGTTTGTCTATTTCGTAGCCCCACATCTAAGACTTTCCAAAAGTTATTTCTGAATTGCACTGTTTCCTAAAAATTGGTAAATAACTATAAGCATATGGTAGAGTGAGAAATATTATACCAAGAGTATAAGGGACACAAAATAACCATGGATAGTTAGTTAGGCCAAAACATTTAAGATAACATAGTCGGAACAAATAATCTTTTAAGTAACAAAACTGAGATTATGTAAATAAATAATCATAACCACGGTAATTTAGTAAACAAATCATTTAAGTGACAGAAACTGAAATACAGAAACTATGTAAGTAAATGACCATAACCACGGTACAGAACAGAAGTCACAAGAGTGACAGTCAGAACAGAGGTATGGATTCAAGAGGTGGCTCATACGGATTCTAGAGGTGGCTCTCACAATAGTGTAATACTTAACTCCGCATAAAACAGAGGTCAATGGATCCATGACAGACAGAGGACCACAAAGTGGTCAAACAGAGGCCAATGATTATTTAAGTCTCCTAAGACATGGGACTCCCGTGGTAGTACTTACAAAACATAATTGTATATAAGGTCATAGTCAAATATTCTTAGAATATAAAACAAACATATCAATGGGTTTCCTTTTAAGCAAATAGGGTTCAGAAATAAAATCACGTAACTGAAATATTTATATAATTTATAATAATTTATAAAACATAACTTGTATAATTTAAATATGGTAAATCAAAACATATGTAAAATACATAAGGGTAATTCAAGGTATAATATAACTCACCTTAACTTTAATATTTTACTCTTTTTTTCATTATCAAAGACCCTTTCAACTTTCACTATTTTTTCCTTCCTTTCCTCTCTTTCTTTCTTTCTTTCTTTTCCTTTTCTTCTTTCTTTCTTTCTTCTTTCTTTTTCTTTCTTATTTTCTTTCCTTGATCAACTCTCCCTATTTATAGGGAGGGGAGGCCATCTGCGGGCCAACACGTAGCTATGCATCACTTTTCTTAAGATTTAATTCATAATTATATATATTTACTCAAATAATTATATTATTTTATAAAATTACACATAATAATATATAATAAATTATATATTTTTTCTAACTGTGATTAAATAATATTAACATAAATTCTACAGAATAATTAAAAATCTGAGTCGTTACAATCTTCCCTCCTTTTAAAATTTCGTCTTCGAAATTTGTTATATGTGCAACTATCCGCTGCGCACTCTGATAAATATATATTAGATGATTAATCTGATAGAAAATACTACCTCAAAAAAAAACTTTACCAAAAATCACTCACTATCTAATTGTCAAAAATTAGTTTGGGCCAAAATGAGAAATAATGGGTGACTTTTAAAACTTTTCACTCGTTTTGCTTATGATAAAAATAAATAAATAAAATAAAATAAAATGAGGACACAATGACAGAATTATATGCAAGAATTGAAAATTTTGGATGAACTCTTCATTTATGAGAAATAGTTTCAAAATTAGTATCTTTATAATTTGAACCCACTTTTAAAAAACATCAAAATAATTTTTTTTTTTTGAATACTGAACTGAAAATTATAGGTATTTAATTATATTATAATTTTAGTGGGTGCTTGAGCCCGACATCCTTCTTTTCTTGTCATTCTTTTACTATAACAAATATAAATTATATCTAATATCCTTCACAAATTAGGCACACTAAAAAAAATTTATTATATATATAATCATATAAAATTATAATATAATTAAATCGACGAACAAAATATAATAATTCAGTACTAATTACCCACTATCCTACTTCCTAAATGTGCGTGTATCCTATGCTCCAATGATGACTTTTTTTAAAAAAATAAAATAAATAAACCATTGCTCTGATACCACTTGTCACGAAACACTCACCATACCTAAGGGTTAAGTATCGTGATGACCAGTAACTGAAGTTACGTACGGCTAATTCTTAAACAAATCAATAAACGCAAGCAGAAGAAATATTTAAATGAGGGTACCAAAATAATCATCGGAGCTTCTATTTTCATTACAAAATTTGTTGACCAAAAAGGCTGATATTTATATATATAAAAATATCATAAAAGTGCTGTGTGTGTCTATTCCGCAGCCTCGCACCTAAGACTTTCCAAAAGTTATTTCTGAATTGCCTGTTTCCTGAAAATTGGTAAACAACTATAAGCACATGGCAGAGTGATAGATATTACACTAAGAGTATAAGGGGCACGAAATAACCATGGATAGTTAATTAGGCCAAAACATTTAAGATAACTTAGTCGGAACAAATAATCTTTTAAGTAGCAAAACTGAAATTATGTAAATAAATAACCATAACTATGGTAATTTGATAAACAAATCATTTAAGTGGCAGAAACTGAAATACAGAAATTATGTAAGTAAATGACCATAACCACGGTACAGAACAGAGGTCACAAGAGTGACAGTCAGAACAGAGGTACGGATTCAAGAGGTGATTCGTACGGATTCTAGAGGTGGCTCCCACAATAGTGTAGCACTTAGCTCCGCACAAAACAGAAGTCAATGGATTCATGACAGACAGAGGACCACAAAGTGGAAAAATAGATGCCAATGGTTATTTAAGTCACCCAAGGCATGGGACTCCCGTGGTGATACTTACAAAACATAATTGTATATAAGGTTATAGTCAAATATTCTTAGAATATAAAACAAACATATCCATGGGTTTCCTTTTAAGCAAATAGGGTTCAGAAATAAAACCACGTAACTGAAATGTTTATATAATTTATAATAGTTTATAAAACATAACTGGTATAAAATAAATATGATAAGTCAAAACATATGTAAGATACATAAGAGTAATTTAAGGTATAATATAACTCACCTTAACTTTAAACCTTACTCTTTTTGTTTCTTTCTTTTCCTTTTCTTCTTTCTTTCTTTCCTTTTTTTCTTCTTTCTTTTTCTTTCTTATTTTCTTTCCTTCTCAGGTTGATCAACTCTCCCTATTTATAGGGAGGTAAGGCCATCCGCGGCGAACACGTGGCTATACGACCCTTTTCCTAAGATTTAATTTATAATTATATAGATTCATTTTTATTCTTAATAGATATTTAAGATAATTACCCTTTGACCTAATATTTTAATATAATTATATAAATAAATTAATTCTTAATTAAATTATACTTTATCGCATATCAATAGTAAATTAATTATTTATTTTATTATCACACCTATTATTATTATTATTTATTTACTCTTACTTCTATATTTATTTATTTACTATCATTAACTTTAATTTGACCCATTTACAGAATAATTAAAAATCTGAGTTGTTACAACTTATATTAGCATTGAGTTTTGCTTTTAGCATTTTTTAGTCAATAAATTAATTTATTAAACCAACTTTCAAAGGATGCCATAAAACTGACAAAAACTCTGCTAACTCACAATTTGGATCAAGAAATTTACAACGAAAGTAAATTTGTTTTTGGCCTTTAGTTAGTGTATTGTGGGGTTCATATATAGAAGCAATCTGAGCCACATATGAGTGTTTTTGGGTAAAATTATGGATAAAAATTATGAATATGTAGTACTACCGTAAAATCTAATATAACATAATGATGTGTTAAATTATGATTTTATCACTATAAAATATAAATTAAAAAAGGATAAATTATGACAGTAGTCTCTGTACTTTAATTCTTGTGTCATTTTGGTTTCTCTAATTTCAATTGTCTTAGTTTTGACTATGAATTTATGATTTTATCTCAACTTGGTTTAATTGATTACAACTCTTAGCAATTTTTATTTAAAACACGTACATAAATGACATGTGTCATAATTTTAAGAGCAAAATTATAAATTTATTCAACTCAGTGAGTTAATCTCAACTAATTCAGTAATAAATTTTTTTGTTAAAAATAATGACATTATCTATTGGACCAAATTAAGACAAAATATAAAATTAAAAATTAAAATTGAGTCAATTGAAAATGTAGGAATTAAAATAATATAAGGGACAAAATATAAGGACCATTAATGTAATTCACTTAAAAAAAAACCACCAAAATAGATTATATTCTAAAACATATCCCTATATATTATTCTTGACAAAAAAAAATGCTTTTGAAAATTCGCTACTACATGTATAAAAAGAAGCCACATGCCACATACCACATACCACATACCACAAAGTTTCCAAGCAAAACACTTTTGCACCGAACAATGGGACTAGTGAATGGGGTCCCTACTCTCCAATTTGCCTGGGTTCTTTTGGCTCTCTATGTTGGGCTAGTATCAGCAGCAGAGAGGTCCACCTATATTGTTCACATGGACAAGTCCCTCATGCCCAAGGCATTCACTGGTCCTAACCATTGGTACACTTCCACCGTTGATTCCATAAAGTCAACCAATCCCACAACATCCAACGGCCATCATTCCACAACAAACCTTCTCTACACTTATGACAATGCACTCCATGGTTTCAGTGCACTTCTCTCCAAAGAAGAACTGAAGACTGTAAAGAAGTCCTTAGGGTTTCTCTCAGCTTACAGTGACAGACAAGTCACAGTTGACACAACCCACACCTTTCAATTCCTCTCCCTCTCTCCGGCCACCGGACTGTGGCCGGCGTCGGATTACGGCAAAGATGTCATCGTCGGAGTTCTCGACACCGGCGTCTGGCCGGAGAGCAAGAGCTTCGACGACGAAGGAATGACGAAAATTCCTTCTAAATGGAAAGGAACATGCGAGGAAGGTCAAGAGTTTAATTCTTCCCTGTGTAATTTAAAGCTCATAGGAGCTAGGTACTTTAACAAGGGTGTCAAGGCCGCGAGACCCAATGTCTCTATTAGCATGAACTCGGCGAGGGACAGCGACGGCCATGGGACACACACTTCCTCAACTGCCGCCGGGAACTATGTCAAAAGCACCTCGTACTTCGGATATGCTTCGGGAAAAGCGAGAGGGGTTGCGCCGAAAGCCCGGTTGTCTATTTATAAGGTCAGCTGGGAAGAAGGACGGTACGCTTCGGATGTTTTAGCCGGTATGGATCAAGCTGTTGCTGATGGGGTCGATGTGATATCGATTTCATCGGGTTTTGATCAAGTTAAATTGTTCGAAGACCCTATCGCCATAGCTTCATTCGGAGCGATGGAAAAGGGTGTGGTTGTTTCCACCTCGGCAGGAAATTCTGGGCCTTTTATGGGCCGCTTACACAACGGAATCCCATGGGTCTTGACCGTGGCGGCCGGGTCCATAGACCGGTGGTTCGCTGGAAGGCTGAGGCTAGGGAATGGTTTAACTATCACAGGATGGTCCATGTTCCCTACCAGTGCTTTGGTGGAGAACTTGCCTTTAATTTACAACAAAACCCTAGCTCCATGCAATTCATCTGCGTTGTTGTCCGAAGCCCCTAATGGAATCATCATATGTGATAACACAATCCCTTTTGATTACCAAATAAGTGAAATTTCTTCCTCAAATACCCCTGCAGCAGCTATCTTCATCACTGATGACCCTAACCCATTTGAGTCCACGAATTTCCCGTACCCCGGGGCGATAATCAGCACCAAGGATGGCTTAGATGTGATCAAGTACGCCAAAAAAAGGGGTGATTCAGCTACAGCTAGTATTAGTTTCCAAGAAACCGATTTGGGGACTCCGCGTGCACCGGTGGTTTCAACCTACACTTCAAGAGGTCCTTCACCGAGCTACCCGGGAGTCCTCAAACCGGATGTAATGGCCCCGGGGACATTAGTTTTGGCTTCGTGGATTCCAGGCTCACCTACTTCTATTATAGGTTCAAATATATTTTTGTATAGTGAATTCAATATGGTGTCCGGGACTTCCATGGCTTGTCCTCATGTTTCAGGCATCGCAGCGCTCTTAAAAGGTGCGCACCCTGAGTGGAGCTCGGCTGCTATTAGGTCCGCTATTATGACCACCGCGAACCCATACGATAACACCCTTAATCAAATCCTCGACAGCGGTTTTGGGTTTGATATTGCTACGCCTCTTTCGATGGGAGCTGGTCAGATTGATCCGAACCGGGCACTTGATCCAGGTCTTGTTTATGATGCTACTCCACAAGATTATGTGAACCTCATATGTTCAATGAACTTCACTACCAATCAAATGTTGACGATCACAAGATCAAACTGTTACAATTGCTCAAACCCGTCTTCTGATCTCAATTACCCATCGTTTATTGCTTTGTACTCGAACAAAACTGGTGGGTTGGTTCAGAAATTTGAGAGGACTGTCACGAATGTCGGCGGCGGTGCAGCGAAGTATAAGGCTAAAGTGACAGCACCAGAAGGGTCTGTCGTGACAGTCTCGCCGGAGACAATGGTGTTTGAAGGGACAAACGAGAAGCAGAGATACTCACTTACCATAAGTTATGTGAGTGACAAAAATAGGACTGTGACATTTGGTTCGATTATTTGGGTTGAAGATAATGGAAAGCACACTGTGAGGAGTCCTATTGTGGTGTCACCAATGATCAAGACATGGTGATTTTATATAAATACATAGAGAAATGTTAGGAATCATGAAAATTTTTTTACGAAAATGATTATGAAAGATTTGTGATTCTTAGATTACCTTGATTAGTGTGTGGTGTTTTATTCTAAGTATAATCTGTTACAAATCTTTCATGATCATTTTCATAAAAGACTTTTTATGATATCTAACATTACTGAAATATATATCATATATATCTTATGACTCAGCTTGAATGGGATGTTTTGGACTGCGCTTTCTATATTCCAAAATTGTTGTGTGCTGTTCAATGCAAAGCACAAACTATAAAATAATAATAAAAATTTAAATATATGAATAAGTTTCATTATGCGCATAGTTTATAATAGGGTCTGGCTTTGGTCCAGTTCACGATTGAATTAGACAGTACTGTTAGACCTGTGGGGGTTCACCACGGGTTCCGTTTTGAAAATATGAACTGTTCAATGTGTAGAACTCGCCGAATATTATATGCCTACAAAAAATCACGTTGATCGGATATCGATAGTTATGTGATCAAATCAGTTTTGCGTAAAAAAAATGGACGGTGAATAAATTAATGGCCGACAAAAAATTATTTTGATCACATAGCTATCGATATCCTATTAACGTGATTTTTTACAGACATATATTACTCGACGAGTTCTATATATTGAACGGTTCAAATTTTTAAAACGAGACCCGTGGTGGGCCCCAACGGGCCCAACAGCACGGTCCAGTCCGATCGTGGACTGGACCAAAGCCAGACCCTTTATAATAATATTTATAAGGACTTTTCTTAGGTGTACCTTGCATATGGTATGCAAGGCATTTACCCATTTTCTATTTTGCATTTACATCTTTTATGTATTGAGTTAGATGACATTTTTTGATAGTTTACATATTGGTGACCTGGTAAACGGGTCCTTTGCAAGTAAATTAATTAAATAATATAATATATTAATAATTTCACAAAAGGGTGTAAACTTTCACAAAATGGTGCAAGTGTTTTGACCAAAAGGTATAAATTTTTAGAAATGGGTGTAAACTTTAACAAAATGGTGTAAGGTATAAACTTTCAAGAAAAGGTGTAAACCTTCAGAAAAATGGTGCAAGTATTTTGACGAAAATGTATAAACTTTAAGAAATGGGTGTAAACTTTCATAAAATGGTGTAAGTATTTTGACGAAAAGGTATAAGTTTAGAAAAATTTACCGAAAAGGTGTAATGTTTCTGAAAAAGTATAAAATTTAGTTTAGTATAATTTTATCGACAAATAACAGTTTAGTCGCTAAAGGTTTGAAATTTTATTACCATCGGCCCCCCTCTTCTCTGTTCCCACCGACATTTTCTCTGTTCTCTCTCACACGCACAGAGAATAGTCACCACCAATCTTGACCCCTGCTGACCACCCAAGCGTCGGTGGCCTCTGGTGCTCACTGTCGTCTGACATCGCCACCTCCACGGCGACCGCAAAGGCCACCGCCGCTGCCGTAAATCAAAGGTTTTTTTCTCTCTCGCTATCGATCTTGGTCTCTATCTGTCGATGTTAGCCTATTCTCCATCGATGTCGGTCTCTCTCTGTCGATCCATGTCTATCTCGATCAGTCTCCAGCGATCTTGGTCTGTCTGTGTCCATGTCGGTCTCTTCTCTGTCGATCTCTGTCAATTTTGGTCCCTCTTCGTCGATCTCGGTCTGGCTGTCTCTGTCGATCACTATCCATCTATGTCTCTATGTCTGTTGATCTCATCTATCTCTCTCTCTCTCTGTTTGCCCCTTGCTCTATATTAAAAACGGTTCTCTTTTACATTGACATACTTGGTTGGATTTGGACTTGGAGTCGCTATTCCATGCCGTCCCAAACTCGTCTTCTCTGAAACAGACTTGTATTAAGAGAAAGACCAAGCCCTCCGAAACGCCCTTCTCTCTCACATTGCCATTATTTGAACAAGACAAATACAATTTGATTGGATTTTAGGAACTTACACGTTCTGTGAAAAAATGGAACTTAAACATTTTGCGAAGTTACTTACATCTCTTATGAAAACACTTACACTATTTGTGGAAGGTTACACATTTGTGAAATAATTTATTTTGTAAAATTTACACATTTTCGTTGAAATACTTACACCTTTGTGAGAAGTTACTACTTTTGTAAAGAATGTTATTAAAAAAATTTACACCTTTCATGGAAAAAATATTTGCATAAAATTTATACCTTTTGATAAAAACATAAACCTTTTTTGAATGGTTACACCTTTTTGTGAAAACACTTACACTATTTGTGGAAGGTTACACATTTGTGAAAATAATTTATTTTGTAAAATTTACACTTTTTCGTTGAAATACTTACATCCTTTGTGAGAAGTTACTACTTTTGTAAAGAATGTTATTAAAAAAATTTACACTTTTCATGCAAAAAATATTTGCATAAAATTTATACATTTTGTTAAAAACATAACATTTTCTAATGGGTACACCTTTTTGTGAAAACAGTTACATTATTGTGAAGGTTACACATTTGTGCAATAATTTATTTTGTATAATTTACACATTTTCGTTAAAAATACTTACACTCCTTTGTGAGAAGTTATTACTTTTGTAAAGAATGTTATTAAAAAATTTACACTTTCATGGAAAAAAATATTTGCATAAAATTATACATTTTGTTAAAAAACATAAACCATTTTCTAATGGTTACACCTTTTGTGAAACATACATTATTGTGGAAGGTTACACATTTGTGCAATAATTTATTTTGTAAAATTACACATTTTCGTTGAAATACTTACAACCCTTTGTGAGAAGTGACTACTTTTGTAAGAATGTTATTAAAAAATTTACACCTTTCATGGCAAAAAATATTTGCATAAAATTTATACATTTTTTTAAAAACATAAACATTTTCTGAATGGTTACAACCTTTTTGTGAAAACAATTACATTATTTGTGGAAGGTTCACATTTGTGCAATAATTTATTTTGTAAAATTCACATTTTTTTGTTGAAATACTTACAACCTTTGTGAGAAGTACTACTTTTTAAAGAATGTTATTAAAAAAATTTACACCTTTCATGGAAAATATTTTTGCATAAAATTTATACCTTCTGTTTAAAACATAAACTTTTCTGAATGGTTACACCTTTTGTGAAAACACTTAAACATTTTCTGAATGGATTACTTGCTTTTGTAATAAACTTTTTCCATAAATTTACACTTTTGATGGGATATTACAATCCTTTTTTCTGCCCGCAAAACTTACAACTTTTTTAAAATTTACACCTTCTATGGAAAATATTTTTTTATCAAGTCTAACACACCTTATTTTAAAAACGTACACCTCTTCTAAAAAGGCACTCCTTTTGTGAAAGAATTTTTTAAAAAATTTACTTTCTTTTAATAGGAGTTACATTTTGGTGAAGAAATTAACATTTTTTTGAAATTTACACCGTTTTATGGAAATATGCTTTGATAAAGTTTGTTAAAAGAAATTTATTTGACAAAATGTATAACCTTTCAAAAATATGGCGTATGTTTTTCGAAAAAGGTGTAATGACCTTGAAAAGATGTAAGTTTTGTTTTTCACTAAAGGTGTAACTTCAAATAATAAGTTTAAATTTTATGAAAAAGGTTTTTTCACAAAATGTGTAATTTTTCAAAAAAGTGTAAATTTTCCACGAAAAGGTGTAAATTTTTAGAAAAGGTGTAAAATTTAGGAATATGTGTAAACTTTGTGAGACAATCAAGCTGAATGTTTCACTTTTACAAAAGATATAAGTTTCCAAAGAAGCTCTACTTTTTTTCGACGACTTTAATGTTTGAAAATTTTATCACACACACCACGCAACCGTTGCGGGCCACCGTTGCCCACTGCCGACTGGCATTGCCACCGCCACCGCCAACGCGCTGGTGCAAATGAAGGGATTTTTCTGTCTCTATCGATCTTGGTCTCACACTTTGTCCATCTTGGGCTCTTCTCTGTCGATGTCGGTCTCTCTCTCTCTGTCTGTATCGATCTTGGTTTGGCTGTGTCGATCTGGGTCCGTCTCTCTCTGTCGAACCATGTCGGTCTCTCTCTCTCTGTTCTGTATCGATCTTGGTTTATCTGTGTCGATCTGGGTTCGTCTCTCTCTGTCGAACCATGTCGGTCTCTTTCTCTCTGTCTGCCGATCTCTGTCTGTATCGATCTTGGTTTGGTCTGTGTCGATCTGGGTCCGTCTCTCCTCTGTTGAACCATGTCTATCTCGGTCTCTGTCCATCTCTCTCCTCCCTTCGTCTCTGTCTATCTATATCGATATCGAACCATGAACAACACACAATCAGTTTGATTGCGTTCTAAGCAACTTACTCGTTCTGCGAAAAACGGAACTTACACGTTTTGTGAAGTTTAATTTCATCTTTTGTGAAACACTTAAAGTATTTTTCGAACCGTTACAGTTTTTTGTGAAATAATTTATTTTTGAAAATTTACACATTTCCGTTCAAATTTATACCTTTTCGGAAAAGTTACCTCTTTTGTAAAATAATTTCATTACAAAAATTTACACTTTTATGGAAAACTACATTTCATAAAATATACACCTTTTGTTAAAAACTTACACATTTTCTTAAATTTTACACTTTTGTTAGAAATACTTACACGTTATCTGAAAAGTTACTCCATTTGTGAAAAATATTTTTTCCATAAAATTTACTCCTTTTATTAGAACATACACCTTTTCTCAAAACAAAAGTTACACCTTCTATGACATAACTTACATCCTTGTGAAAACAGTTTCATCTTTTTTGAAAATTTCACGTTTTGTTAAAACTTACACCCATTCTGAGAAGTTACTCTTGTTGTGAATATCTTTTATTATGATCTTACCATTTTCTAAACAAAAGTTCACGTTTTGTGAGATAACTTACATTTTTTTGTGAAAACAGTTACAACGATTTTTGAAAATGAACACTTTTTTATTAAAATGTTTTCATAAAGTTTACACCTTTTGTAAAAAACTTACATTTTTTCTGAAAGTGTACACCTTTTGGGGAAAATATTTACACTTTTTCAGAAATGGTGTAAGTACTTCCCCTCAAAGTTTTAAACTTTCAGACACGGTGTAAGAATTCACAAAGGTATATATTTTATAAAACCAAATTTTCCATAAAAGGTGTAAAATTTTCAAAAACGTGAAAATGTTTCACAAAATATGCAAGTAATGTCACAGAAGGTGTAAATTTTATTTTCAGAAAATGTGTGACTTCCAATAGAAGGTGTAAACTTTATGGAAAATATAACTCAC